GCCACATGCTGCCACAATACAGGGCCCTTGAGGATCATGGAGGAGAAACAGGAAGAAAAACAGGAATTCCTTCAAAAAAGAAACTCTGCAGTGTGACCAGATCCAACATATTTCATAGTGTAAGCCCTGTCCCTTTCTCTCAAGTCTGCTCCCTGCTAGTGTTTTTGTTCATTTATTTAGAGAGAGAAAGCTTGGGACCTCAACTTTAGCGAGTCAGCTTTTGCTAGTTAATGGAGCAAACTTCAACCTAACCCCGAACTCTGAGTTTGGCACAACGTACTAACCCACAGAGACCTTCCTACCAAGACTACAAAAAGAAGGATTCTGGGTGGACACCTCCTGAAGGTCGAAACAACAGACTGGACTTCTACATAGAGTGCTTCCACCGACGTCCTTGGGCTGAAATCGTGGAAAAGCAGCATCACTTGCCCCATAACCTCAGCCGTGCAGAAACACAATGCCATCCACAGCCTCAGAAACAACTCTGACATCATAATCAAAAAGGCTGACAAAGGAGGTGCTGTCGTAATCATGAATAGGTCGGAATATGAACAAGAGGCTGCTAGGCAGCTCTCCAACACCACATTCTACAAGCCATTACCCTCTGATCCCACTGAGGGTTACCAAAAGAAACTACACCATCTGCTCAAGAAACTCCCTGAAAAAGCACAAGATCAAATCCGCACAGACACACCCCTGGAACCCCGACCTGGGATATTCTGTCTACTACCTAAGATTCATAAACCTGGAAATCCTGGGTGCCCCATCATCTCAGGCATTGGCACCCTGACAGCAGGACTGTCTGGCTATGTAGACTCCCTCCTCAGGCCCTACGCTACCAGCACTCCCAGCTACCTTCGAGACACCACTGACTTCCTAAGGAAACTACAATCCATCGGTGATCTTCCTGAAAACACCATCCTAGCCACTATGGATGTAGAAGCCCTCTACACCAACATTCCACACAAAGATGGACTAGAAGCCATCAGGAACAGTATCCCCGATAATGTCACGGCAAACCTGGTGGCTGAACTTTGTGACTTTGTCCTCACCCATAACTATTTCACATTTGGGGACAATGTATACCTTCAAATCAGCGGCACTGCATGGCCCACAGTATGCCAACATTTTTATGGCTGACTTAGAACAACGCTTCCTCAGCTCTCGTCCCCTAATGCCCCTACTCTACTTGTGCTACATTGATGACACCTTCATCATCTGGACCCATGGAAAAGAAGCCCTTGAGGAATTCCACCATGATTTCAACAGTTTCCATCCCACCATCAACCTCAGCCCGGACCAGTTCACACAAGAGATCCACTTCCTGGACACTACGGTGCTAATAAGCCATGGTCACATAAACACCACCCTATACCGGACACCTACTGATCGCTATGCCTACCTACATCCCTCCAGCTTTCATCCAGACCACACCACAAGATCCATTGTCTACAGCCAAGCTCTCCAATACAACTGCATTTGCTCCAACCCCTCAGACAGAGACACACACCTGCAAGATCTCTATCAAGTGTTCTTACAACTACAATACCCACCTACTGAAGTGAAGAAACAGATTGACAGAGCCAGAAGAGTACCCAGAAGTCACCTACTACAGGACAGGCCCAACAAAGAAAATAACAGAACGCCACTAGCCATCACCTTCAGCCCCCAACTAAAACCTCTCCAACGCATCATCAAGGATCTACAACCTATCCTGAAGGACGACCCATCACTCTCACAAATCTTGGGACACAGGCCAGTCCTTGCTTACAGACAGCCCCCAAACCTGAAGCAAATACTCACCAGCAACCACACACCACACAACAGAACCACTAACCCAGGAACCTATCCTTGCAACAAAGCCCGTTGCCAACTGTGTCCACATATCTATTCAGGGGACACCATCATAGGGCCTAATCACATCAGCCACACTATCAGAGGCTCGTTCACCTGCACATCCACCAATTTGATATATGCCATCATGTGCCAGTAATGCCCCTCTGCCATGTACATTGGCCAAACTGGACAGTCTCTACGTAAAAGAATAAATGGACACAAATGGGACGTCAAGAATTGTAACATTAAAAAACCATTCGGAGAACACTTCAATCTCTTTGGTCACTTGATTACAGACCTAAAAGTGAAAAGAAAAGGAGTACTTGTGGCACCTTAGAGACTAACCAATTATTTGAGCATAAGCTTTCGTGAACTACAGCTCACTTCATCGGATGCATAAAAGAAGTGAAGTGAGCTGTAGCTCACGAAAGCTTACGCTCAAATAATTGGTTAGTCTCTAAGGTGCCACAAGTACTCCTTTTCTTTTTGCGAATACAGACTAACACAGCTGCTACTCTGAAACCAGACCTAAAAGTGGCAATTCTTCAACAAAAAAACTTCAAAACCAGACTCCAACAAGAGACTGCTGAATTGGAATTAATTTGCAAACTGGATACAATTAACTTAGGCTTGAATAAAGACTGGGAGTGGATGGGTCATTACACAAAGTAAAACTATTTCCCCATGTTTCTTCCTCCCCACCCCCGCTGTTCCTCAGACGTTCTTGTCAACTGCTGGAAATGGCCCACCTTCATTATCACTACAAAAGGTTCCCCCCCCACCCCGCCTCCCCGGCTCTCCTGCTGGTAATAGCTCACCTAACCTAATCACTCTCGTTACAGTCTGTATGGTAACACCCATTGTTTCATGTTCTCTGTGTATATAAATCTCCCCACTGTATTTTCCACTGCATGCATCTGATGAAGTGAGCTGTAGCTCACGAAAGCCTATGCTCAAATAAATCTGTTAGTCTCTAAGGTGCCACAAGTACTCCTTTTCTTTTTAAAATAACTGTTCTCTAGGTCCTTGAAAACTGTTTTCTTGAGTAAATGTATGTTGTTAGGGCGACACCTTGAGACTAAACAGAAGAAATGCAGTCTCCTAGTCCTACTGATTCCTCCTTCTTTGACTCTCCTGCTTACCCGTGGAGCTGAAAGTGGATACATTGGTTTGGACTCAGTTCTTTTATAGGAGAAGTCTTGGTGGCCACAGAAGTCAAAGATTTTGATAAACTTTGTGTCCTTATTTGAACCAAAGGCAAACTCTGAGACTCAAGCCCTTTGAGACTCATCACTAAGATAGAGACACATACCCTATCCTACATCAAAAAAAACCCTCTTCTCTCTCTTGCATACACAGACTTGCAACATCAGGTCTTCCTCTCTTCCAGGGCAGTTCATGTCTTTTCAGCATGCCACCACTACATGCAAACTGGGATTTATAGATGGAACTGCAGTAAGTGTGCCATGATCTTGCAGTCAATCCTTTCACAATACAAGATAAACCCTAAATTTCTCTATAGCATAATTCACTTCAGAAACTTTTCAGGATGGTATGTGCATGACTCTCTGAGCACACTTTTGATTGGGAATGATCCTTCACTACATGTATTACGATATAGTATTAACTTCAAGGACTTAATATGCAATATATTTGCAATGTGGTCAAGTTACAGTGGCTGTGAGCACCATACTGCCTTTTACATTTGGTTGGTTCTAGCCAGCTCTGACCCTTTGTCTACAGAAGACATTAATTTTCCAAAACTTAAGATGAAGATAATATAGACTTGCAAAAGTCAATTCCCCCACTTCCCCACAGCAAGTATTTTGTGTTTTTGGAAGGTGAGTAACTTTTTTATTATAATTTACCCTCCTGGTAGTCAGTAGATGAGAAGGTCTTGTGTGTGAGCTAGTAAATATTCATGACAATTTTGCATGGCTTACATAATGATGCTTTGCACAGACAGTCTTTTTCAACTGGAGAGATAAAGAACTTTACAAATTGGGTAACAGAGGCTAAGTGACCTGATTTTTGAGGATGCTGATCACCCACAACTTCCCTAGAGCTCCCACTGAGTTCAAGCTGCTCAACATTTTTGACAATCTGGCCATACGTGACTTTCTTAAGGTCACACAGCAAGTCAGTGACAGAGAGAAAAACAGAACCTGGAACTCCTGATGACTCCCATTATCAATTTCAGTCATCTAGAGCAGCTATCGGTCCAGGGGTCACTCAGAAACAGATTTCGTCTGCGCTTGGATCTGAGATTTCTTCTCAAGCTATCTGATGTGGGGGACCGGCAATTTTTTTTTTCCAATGTGCGTGAAGACCGGCAGCTGATGGCTCACGGACCGGCACTGGTCCGCGGACCACCGCTTTGAGTAGCACTGATCCAGAGTGAGCATAGCTGCCCTATGTTCAAAGAGTGGTATCCCTCTGATACAATAACTACCAATAGCAATAGCTTTTAAAAACACTTGAAGGCCTTCTGTCTGGATTCCAGAGAACCTGCTTTTTTCTTTAAATAAGTCAAACGAAAACAGGCTAGGCCACTGCCTATCACCCTCCCCTCGCCATGCTCTATTCTGTTCCAATGCAGTATAACAAAAGCTAGCTCTTTACAGCAATTTTTGGATTTCAGGCACCCAGGGCCTGATTTTCAGAGATGCTGAACTCCAGCTGATTTCTCCTACGCTTGTGGATGCTCAATACCTCTTAAAATCAGGTCCCAAGTCCTGAAAGGTCAGATGTGTCATCCCAGGTGGGCCTAGTGGGTTTTGAAATCCTCACTTTCATGGCAAGCTGTGGCTTGGTATTTGCTGCGTTCAGGGCTTCAGAGTCCACACCCATCGCAGCTCAATGAAGATCTCCTCTGCCATAAGGAGCGGAGAAAATCAACATATAAAGTAATTAAATTTCTACTGCCATCCGGGGGAAAGTGGGCCAGCCCTTCCCACCCCTGCTCAGCATAACCCCTGGAACCTGAATCTAAACCTCACATCTACAAACTCCTCACGTCCTCGCGGCTCAGTTTTAAATCCTAGAGCAGACTGCATGCTGCCTGATTTCCTCCTCCGCCCTGCCCGCGACAGCAGCACCGTGACCCCGAGAAACTACAAACCCCAGAGTCCCCTGCACAGGGTGTGGGCGCCGCGAGGCGGGCGGGTGCCAGGCTCCGGGCTTTTCGGGAGCGCCGCGAAGAGGGGGTCCGCCCGGCGCTGGGGGTGCGCGCCGCAAGCCAGGACTCAGGCGCAGAGCACGCCGGCTCTCGGGCCCCGCGCAGCGCCTCCCCCGGCCGCTGCGCTCCGCGCCCCGGGGCAGGGCTGGCGCTTGAGCCCGCGCGCGGGAGGACCCAGCCCGCGCGTGGCCCGGGGCGGGGACGCTTCGGGAGCAGCTCGGGCAGCGCAGCCAGCGGTGGCCCCGAGGGAGATCGGGGGCGGGATTCGAGGGCACGTCGCCAAGCCCGGCAGCTAACAGCCGCCGCTCCCCGGGCACCATGAAGAACGACTTGCCGGTGTCCTTCGCTGGGCTCAGCGGGCCGGCAGGCTTCCTCAGGAGCAGCGAGCCTCTGTCCTTGTCTCCCGTGCCAGCCCCAGCGACCGCTTTGCTGGAGGAGGCCGCGGATTTGCTGGTGGTGCACCTGGACTTTGCTGCCGCTCTGGACAGGTGTGAGCGGGGCTGCGAGAGCCTCGCCTCAGACCCTGACGGTGAAAGGTACGGGGGGCGAGTTCCCAGTCACCCCGGGGCATACAGCAAAAGAGGTTCCCGCTGCTTAGTTATTCAGGGCAAACGCAGGCAGGGCCTGTGCAGCCGGTTCCCTGCGAAATCTCAGATCCAAGCGCAGACGAAATCATTTTCTGAGTGACCCCTGGACCGAGAAGTCTTGGCTTTTGTTCGTGAACACACTGGACTACAGTAGTCCTGAGATGTTTGACAGGACTCAGCTAAGGTCTAATGTATCAGTGTAACATCTGTTATGTCCTGCTTTCAGGGACGCCACCGTGAACTCCTAGAGGGATGCATCGACACTGACTATTTTTAATAAATCGCTTTGAAATATTTTGCTTAGAAATAATTTTGCTGTGGGTTCTGGTTTTGGATTTTTTTGCCCCTCTTTCCCCCTCAGCCTTCTACGTGGGTAGAGTTGCAAGTGTTACTGGTCAGAGTCAGTGCTGTTGTCTTTTGTGTGACAGGTAAAGGAGAGATCCATGACCATCTTGGTAGTTAAAAATTTCATAGCATTTTTTTACAGTAGTGAGAGCGTTAATATTGGTGTCCTGGCCAAATTCTGATTTGTCTACTTACTTTTTAACTCCATGCTGTTCCATTTGGAAATAATACATTCTTTTTTGCTTTCAACCCTGAAATGGGGTGTAATGTTGCTGTTCTGTATACAAACAGCTGATTTGTTTCAGGCAGCAGTAACTGCATGCCCTAGGTAAGGGAAATGATTCCTGTATATGAATTGCTTGGAGATCCTTGAGAATCAAGGCATTTTGATGATAATAGGTCTAAGAATGTATAAGAACTCAGAAAAACGAAGCGTGGGATTACTGATCACGCTTTATATTAAGGTTCTATTTATAAAGGATTAATGAATGATTAGTGCATGTTTTAGTCAATGGTTAATCTATTGTTTTAGAGTCCAAGTAGTCAATACATGACTGATAGCCATCTGTAACACTTGCTGACCTGCTTACAACTCTGTTTGCATTTTAATATGCCTAAATACATCTAGGAACAAAGAATGTAGTCCATACTTACATGATGGGGGACTCTCTCCTGGGAAGCAGTGACTGAACATAATTTGGGGTTCATGGTGGATAATCAGCTGAACATGAACACCCTGCATGATGCTGTGGCTAAAAGGGCTAATGTAATTCTTGGATGCATAAGCAGGGGAATCTCAAGTAGGAGTAGGGAGACTATTTTAACTTTGTATTTGGCATTGGTGGAACTGCTGCTGCACTATTGTGTCCAGTTATGGTGTCCACAATTCAAGACAGATGTTGATAAATTGGAAAAGGTTCGGAGACGAGCCACGATAATGATTAAAGGAGTTGAATCTGTTTTGCTCGAGAAGGTTAAGGGGTGACTTAATTACAGTCTATAAGTACCTGCATGGAGAATATTTAATAATGGACGCTTCAATGTAGCAGAGAAAGGTATAATATGATCCAATGGCTGGAAGTTGAAGCTAGACAAATTCAGACTGGAAATAAGGCATATCGTTTTAAGTGTGAGAGTAATTAACCATTGGAACAATTTACCCAGGGTCAAGGTGGATTCTTTATCATTGACTACTTTGAAATTAAAATATGCTCTGGGAATTATTTTGGAGACGTTTTATGGCCTGTGTTGTACTGGAGATCAGACTAGATGATCACAATAGATTCCAAGGATAGAAGGGACTAGGAATTTCTCTTACTGTTTATCTCTGTAACATGCTTAGAATATCTCTAATTTATTAGCCCTTTATAAATCACTATATTGAGGAATAGTTTTATTCCTTTGTCTATGACTAGGGAGATGCATAGAAACAGAATCTAAGTGCCTTAGGTCATCTAGTCTTGTTCCTCATTTCCCCCCCCCCCTTCCCCGTCTGAACACAAAAATACTCCTCTTGCTCCTCTTCATTTCCAAAGCTGTGTATATAATACAGGTTTATGACTTGTGGTGGAGGAAATGAACAGCTGGAATAGATGAACTCTTAAGGGACTTAAGCACAGCTCCTCCAATGTATTTAGGCCTGTAACTCCCATTTCTCTGGAGGTCCTGCCAATCAATAGATCTGGTCTGGCTCTGCTTTGCTTGTTAGTTATGATGAGTTCAAAAGCCATCAGAATGATGTAGTTTATTGACCTTATTATGCCCCACTGCAATATAGTCCAGAGGTTCTTATGGTTCTACTAGATACTAAATGACCCACAAACACATTTAAAAGTGGGGAGGGGCGTGAAGATGAGAATTCCCTGGAAGAATGTGTGTAAAATAGCATTGGAATTATGTTAGGATTATTCACAACAAGGATAGAGCCTATACTTGTTACCTGGCCGAAGAACCAGGGAGGGACACTTAAAAAAAAATCCCCCAGATGGGAAAGGAGCAGTTTAGGTTTATATTTTACTTGCTATATTATAGTCACACTCAGAGACCCCAGTGGAGATGAAGGCCCCATTGTGCTAGGTGCTGCACAAACATATGGTCTATCTCAAAGAGCTGATGGTCTAACTAGACAAGACCAACAAAGGGTGGGAGGGAAGAATCCTCATTTTATAGGTGGGGAACTAAGGGCTTGTCTACACTTAAAATGCCACAGCAGCATAGCTGCACCGCTGTAGCATTTCAGTGAAGGCACTGCCTACACCAATGGTAATCCACCTCCTCAAGAGGCAGTAGCTAGGTCTATGGGAGAATTCTCCCGTCAACCTACTGCTTTCTACACTGGGGGTTAGATTGGTTTCACTGTGTCACTCGGAAGTGTGGATTTTTCACACCCCCGACTGACGTAGTTATACCAACCTAATTTTCTAGTGTTGACCAGGCATGAGGCAGAGAGAATGGTTGAATCACTGACTCTGTGTCGCACAAGCAGGGCAAGGAATTGAACCCAGTTCTCTTGAATTTCAGGCCAGGCCCTGAACCCATTCTCACTCACTTTTTTATTATTTGTTTTTGGTCTTAAAGAGTGTTTTATCAATCATGCATTATTTAGGTTTGGAATCTCTTACAATCACAATTTCAGCACATTGCCAGTCCTAAAATAATAATAATAATGATGCCAATGGTCCTTGTCATGATTTCTAGTCACCAAACCATTACTGGAGGCTAGATTGTTGTTAAAAGCCTAAACTAATTTACAGGTAAATTTGGCTCGTTTTGGCTGCTTTAATACCTGTGAATATAGACAACTCCTGAGGAGTATGAAAAGGGGTCTGTGCATGATTGAGAGTTATGGGACTTCTGCTGGAGATCTGTAACAAACATGTCCAGCAAAAAAGGCTGAACATGCTCTGCGCTTTGGGGGAAAAGCTGCTGAGGAGGAATTAGAAAGCCCCTAACATCAGATGTGTCAGGCGGGGAAGGATTTTGAAACAGCATTTCTCACAAGTGCTCATTTGGCCTGTCTTCTCCATTGGACAGCTTTGCGGAAGTGAAGAGCTCCCTGTGCATTGTGGGGATCCAGGCCCTGGCAGAGATGAACCGGTGGAGAGAAGTTCTGTCTTGGGTCTTGCAGTATTACCAGGTCCCTGAACTTCTGCCTCCAAAAATTCTGGAACTGTGGTGAGTAATTATCTCTACTTTCCAGATATGTCCTGCCTAAAATACCCAGGTTCCACAACCTATATGTGTAGTCTGTTGTATGGAGTTTGAGTTGGGCTTTTTCCTCCTGTGTCCCTCCTCCTTTCTTGTCATCTCCCTGTGCATGGGGGGGGGGGGGGGGGCAGGCAGAGCTGTTCAGAGGGAACCTTTTCAGAATGAAAGAACAGAGCTGAACTTGGTTTTCTGCAGCATCTTTCATTTTCAAGGAATGCCATAGTGATAGGTTAGAGACTGTTATGTAACAAGTTTTGCCTCTTCCACAGCTAGAGACACTGGAACCTGTTAGTGTGAGAAGGGATGTTGCCCTGACACCAAGATCACACTCCCCCAGTGTTATGTGATCTTTATCTAGCACCTGTAGTCAGGCAGTGGTTTAACATCTCCCCTAGAATATGTTGTCTCAATCAGTGCAGCATCTCCCTAGTGCTTTAATGCAGTGAAAGACATGTTCTTCCCTTCTCTCCTTCACTAGCAGGGCTGGACTACTGTGACTGTCTCCTGACAGAAGCGAACAGAATGTAAGGAACCATTAGGAAAGGGATAGATAATAAGACAGAAAATATCATATTGCCTTTATATAAATCCATGGTACATCCACTTCTTGAATATTGTGTGCAGATCTGCTCACCCCATCACAAAACAGACACATTGGAATTGGAAAAGGTACAGAGAAGGGTAACAAAATAATTAGGGGTATTAGCTTAAAAAGACTGGGACTTTTCAGCTTGGAAAAAGAGATGACTGAGGGAGAACATGATAGAGGTCTATAAAATCTTGACTGGTGTGGAGAAAGTGAATTAGGAAGGGTTATTTACTCCTTCACGTAACACAAGAAGTAAGGGGTCACCCAATGAAATTAATAGACAGGTTTTAAACAAACAAAAGGAAATATTTCTTCACACAATGCACAGTCAACCTGTGGAACTCCTTGCTATGGATGTTGTGAAAACCAAAACTATAAAAAATGGGGAAGAGATGGACAGCCCTCTGTGGAGATAGAGGTGGTTAGGGACTATTTAGAAAAGCTGGACGTGCACAAGTCCATGGGGCCGGACGAGTTGCATCCGAGAGTGCTGAAGGAACTGGCGGCTGTGATTGCAGAGCCATTGGCCATTATCTTTGAAAACTCGTGGCGAACCGGGGAAGTCCCGGATGACTGGAAAAAGGCTAATGTAGTGCCAATCTTTAAAAAAGGGAAGAAGGAGGATCCTGGGAACTACAGGCCAGTCAGCCTCACTTCAGTCCCTGGAAAAATCATGGAGCAGGTCCTCAAAGAATCAATCCTGAAGCACTTGCATGAGAGGAAAGTGATCAGGAACAGCCAGCATGGATTCACCAAGGGAAGGTCATGCCTGACTAATCTAATCGCCTTCTATGATGAGATTACTGGTTCTGTGGATGAAGGGAAAGCAGTGGATGTATTGTTTCTTGACTTTAGCAAAGCTTTTGACACGGTCTCCCACAGTATTCTTGTCAGCAAGTTAAGGAAGTATGGGCTGGATGAATGCACTACAAGGTGGGTAGAAAGCTGGCTAGATTGTCGGGCTCAACGGGTAGTTATCAATGGCTCCATGTCTAGTTGGCAGCCGGTATCAAGTGGAGTGCCCCAAGGGTCGGTCCTGGGGCCGGTTTTGTTCAATATCTTCATAAATGATCTGGAGGATGGTGTGGATTGCACTCTCAGCAAATTTGCGGATGATACTAAACTGGGAGGAGTGGTAGATACGCTGGAGGGGAGGGATAGGATACAGAAGGACCTAGACAAATTGGAGGATTGGGCCAAAAGAAATCTGATGAGGTTCAATAAGGATAAGTGCAGCGTCCTGCACTTAGGACGGAAGAACCCAATGCACAGCTACAGACTAGGGACCGAATGGCTAGGCAGCAGTTCTGCGGAAAAGGACCTAGGGGTGACAGTGGACGAGAAGCTGGATATGAGTCAGCAGTGTGCCCTAGTTGCCAAGAAGGCCAATGGCATTTTGGGATGTATAAGTAGGGGCATAGCGAGCAGATCGAGGGACATGATCGTTCCCCTCTATTCGACATTGGTGAGGCCTCATCTGGAGTACTGTGTCCAGTTTTGGGCCCCACACTTCAAGAAGGATGTGGATAAATTGGAGAGAGTCCAGCGAAGGGCAACAAAAATGATTAGGGGTCTGGAACACATGAGTTATGAGGAGAGGCTGAGGGAGCTGGGATTGTTTAGCCTGCAGAAGAGAAGAATGAGGGGGGATTTGATAGCTGCTTTCAACTACCTGAAAGGGGGTTCCAAAGAGGATGGCTCTAGACTGTTCTCAATGGTATCAGATGACAGAACGAGGAGTAATGGTCTCAAGCTGCAGTGGGGGAGGTTTAGATTGGATATTAGGAAAAACTTTTTCACTAAGAGGGTGGTGAAACACTGGAATGCGTTACCTAGGGAGGTGGTAGAAAGCCCTGGTGACAAAGCCCTGGCTGGGATGATTTAACTGGGAATTGGTCCTGCTTCGAGCAGGGGGTTGGACTAGATGACCTTCTGGGGTCCCTTCCAACCCTTATATTCTATGATTCTATGATTCTATAACAGGGTTAAAAAAAAAGAACTAACATTCATGGAGAATAGGTCCATTAATGGCTATTCATTAGGATGGGCAGGGATGCAACACCATGCTCTGAGTGTCCTCAGCTTCTTTGTGTCAGAAGCTGGTAGTGGACGACAGGGGATGGATCACTTCATGATTACCTGTTGTGTTCCGTCCTTCTGCAGCACCTGGCATTGGCCACTGTTGGAAGACAGGATACTGGGCTAGATGGACTTTTGGTCTGACCCAGTGTGGCCGTTCATATGTTCTCATAGCAATCCTTGTGATGAAAGATGCTGTGGCAGTGCCACCTGACCTATGAATAGCCAAAGAACCACTTAATCAATGAATGGAATGGGGCTATAGTAAATACCTATGAAAAATCCAGAGAATCTTCTCTTTATCAGAAGTATGTTTTTTAAATTTAGTTTTTAGCATGAAGAGAGAGTGCTGCAAAAGTTGAATATATAAAAGTATTAAGTACTTATAATTTACAGGGCTTTCCACCCGTGGATCTCAAAGCACTTTATAAAGGCAGGCAAGTACCATTCCAAGTGACTGCTGGAGCAAATCTAGTCTCCCTTAGAAGTACAGGCGTCTTAGAAGAAGGTGTGCAGGAGTCTTATTACTGAGAGCATGGAGTCGTGGAAGGATCTGGCCTCTCTAGGAAGGAGGGGAAAATGGATTTGATGCTTGTTATTGGGGGAGGAGATTGAGGAGGGCTTGGCAGCTGTGGCAAGGGGGTTGGGTCATGATTAACCAAGCCTGAGCAAAGAGTATTATTCAGGGCTATGAAAAGCCACATGCACCTTGAGAGCCTTAAATGAGTGTAATGGGTCTCGGGACATTTGATTCTCAGATTACTGCATTTCACCCATTAGTCAAATCTGTGTATTTGCCAGCCTTTAGGACCCCTCATGTCAAAACCCAAAGGGTCTGAGAACTGCCCAGGAAAGTACTGCCTGATGTGTCTCGTTAAGTCATGAATTTCATGGCCTTAGCAAAGACTCAGACTCTGTGATGCCATCAGTAAGTGCAGGGAGAAGGTCACATGTCACCCCCAGTGAAGAGCATGTGTTTTAAGATGATAAAATTTACATCTTAACAGTGACTGCTGTACTAGACCTTTGCTCCCTGCATCAAGTGATGAAAGTCTGGGAACGTTGCTGGGGGAGGAAGGAAGCTTGGCCTCTGCGGGTGTCTGCACTGCACTGGGGAGGTGTCATTCCTACTGTGGGTAGATCGACTCGCCCTAGCTCAGCTCAAGCTAGTGCACTAAAAATAGTAGTGTGGACGTTGTGGCACTGGTGATAGTTTAGGCTAGCCATCCGAATCCCAGCCCCCTGCCTTCCCCTTGGGTCCGAGCTCGGGTGGCTAGGCCAAGCTGCCACCAGTGCTGTAGCAGCTACGCTGCTGTTCCTAGTGCAGTAGCTTGACCTGACCTAGGAATCACACCTCCCTGCTGGGAATCATGTCTGTCTACCCATGCTGGGAATCACACCTCCCTGCTGCAGTGTAGACACATACTGAGGGGTTGCTTCATATTGCTTTCTAGGGACTCCCTCCCTCTTTGCGTGGAGTGCAGATTGTCACTGAGGGATCTATGTCCAGTCCTGGTTATAGATGACTGAAGTTGGTAACTGTAAGTGATCTCAACTTTGCAAATAGTTTGTAGTGTAACATTCATTTTTTTCTTGCATTCTAGCATCCTATTGTACAGCACAGTGAAGGAGCCCCACGTGATGTTGGAAGTTGACAATTATTGGCTGAGAGATCTAACCAATCAGAGTCTGCCTTCGTATGGCACCTTGATGGAGTTGCATCTGTTGCATGTGTTGCTTCCCCTTGGACAATTTGTGGAGGCAGAGGATCTGGTACAGGGCTGTGAAGCTTTCAGTAAAGAGCAACAACTTGAGGCCCTGAGCACCATTAACAAGAGGAGGTGTCAGTGGGTGCAGCAGGAAGAGACACAATCAGGCCCTGAAGAGCAACCAGCCACAGCAAGGGAGAAGTTGTTAGGTAGGCGCTCTCTCTAAGCCTCACAATCCTGCTTTCCTCTTCCGAGGTGTAGAAGAGGGAGTGATTGAACTTGGGCCAAATCATTCTTTATTTTTATTTAGACTTATGTTAAGTGTTTTACCTACTTGCTCTTGGTGCTTTCACTATAGTTACAACTCACAATGTCGAAATGCAGCTCAACGCATACAATCTCCAGATTGCCTCTCCCCCTCACATAACCACTATCTGCTAATAAATAATAATTCATCTCAGCCCCCTTTCTTGTACCCCAGTTCCCTCAGCTTGGCTCCTTCCCAAATGTTCAGGAGAAAAGCTAGACTTTGCAGCACATCCAGAAGGCCAGCAAATCTGGCAGGTAGAGAGGAGAAGCGAGTTTCAAATCTAAAAGTCCTTCACAGAGAACTGCCCTGCGAGTAGCCTCCTCCCATCTACAATGAGGGAGTTGCAATTTTGCAGTCCTCACAACAGTGGCAGCATTGTATGAGGGAAGAGGTGGTACCTCAACAAACCCAAACTACTTAAGGGCTTTTAAATTAAAATAAAGACTTCAAACTGTGCTCAGAAATCCACAGTATTCCAAGCTCCCCATGTCTGTTTAGTTTTTGACTTCTCTGCTGGATGCCAATTGCAATGGTGTTTTTTTGTGGGATTTGAATATTGTCCACTAGGAACAGAGGTGAAAGCTACCCACTTATTTCCACACATCAAGCTGCCAATACATGGGTTGACTGTTCAGTGTTCATTACCAACTAGGGCTAGATTCAAACTGGTGTTTTAGGAGGAAGAGGCTTTGTATCCATTACCAGTTTTATCTCTTTTTCTTTTTTATCATGGCCAGTTGGATGACTGAACAGCCAGTTCCCCTTTCTGAACCTATCCAAGGTTGGTAGTGACTGAAAGTCTTATGGGAAGTGGTTTCAGTTTCAGCAAGTTTCTAGGTCTCAAAATTCCATCACAGCTGGCACTAGTTGGTACCCATTTCTGCTGCAGCAACAGGAGCAGCTACCCAACATACTATTAGGCCTGGTCTACACTTAAAATATAGGTTGACCTAGCTACAGTGCTCAGGGGTGTAAAAAAAAAGCCACACCCCTGTGCACCCTGACTATGCCAACCTAACCCCCAGTGTAGACACAGCTAGGTTGACAGAAGAATGCTTCCATCAATCTAAAAAAGAAAAGGAGTACTTGTGGCACCTTAGAGACTAACCAATTTATTTGAGCATAAGCTTTTGTGAGCTACAGCTCACTTCATCGGATGCATACTGTGGAAACTGCAGAAGACATTATATACACAGAGACCATGAAACAATACCTCCTCCCACCCCACTCTCCTGCTGGTAATAGCTTATCTAAAGTGATCACTCTCCTTACAATGTGTATGATAATCAAGTTGGGCCATTTCCAGCATAAATCCAAGTTTAACCAGAACGTCGGGGGTGGGGGTGGGGGTGGGGGGGAAGGAAAAAACAAGGGGAAATAGGCTACCTTGCATAATGACTTAGCCACTCCCAGTCTCTATTTAAGCCTAAATTAATAGTATCCAATTTGCAAATTAATTCCAATTCAGCAGTTTCTTGCTGGAGTCTGGATTTGAAGTTTTTTTGTTTTAAGATAGCGACCTTCATGTCTGTAATTGCGTGACCAGAGAGATTGAAGTGTTCTCCACTGGTTTATGAATGCTATAATTCTTGACATCTGATTTGTGTCCATTTATTCTTTTACGTAGAGACTGTCCAGTTTGACCAATGTACATGGCAGAGGGGCATTGCTGGCACATGATGGCATATATCACATTGGTGGATGTGCAGGTGAACGAGCCTCTGATAGTGTGGCTGATGTTATTAGGCCCTGTGATGGTGTCCCCTGAATAGATATGTGGGCACAGTTGGCAACGGGCTTTGTTGCAAGGATAGGTTCCTGGGTTAGTGGTTCTGTTGTGTGGTATGTGGTTGTTGGTGAGTATTTGCTTCAGATTGGGGGGCTGTCTGTAGGCAAGGACTGGCCTGTCTCCCAAGATTTGTGAGAGTGTTGGGTCATCCTTCAGGATAGGTTGTAGATCCTTAATAATGCATTGGAGAGGTTTTAGTTGGGGGCTGAAGGTGACGGCTAGTGGCGTTCTGTTATTTTCTTTGTTAGGCCTGTCCTGTAGTAGGTGACTTCTGGGGAACTCTTCTGGCTCTATCAATCTGTTTCTTCACTTCCGCAGGTGGGTATTGTAGTTGTAAGAATGCTTGATAGAGATCTTGTAGGTGCTTGTCTCTGTCTGAGGGGTTGGAGCAAATGCGGTTGTATCGCAGAGCTTGGCTGTAGACGATGGATCGTGTGGTATGGTCGGGGTGAAAGCTGGAGGCATGTAGGTAGGAATAGCGGTCAGTAGGTTTCCGGTATAGGGTGGTGTTTATGTGACCATTGTTTATTAGCACTGTAGTGTCCAGGAAGTGGATCTCTTGTGTGGACTGGACCAGGCTGAGGTTGATGGTGGGATGGAAATTGTTGAAATCATGGTGGAATTCCTCAAGGGCTTCTTTTCCATGGGTCCAGATGATGAAGATGTCATCAATATAGCGCAAGTAGAGTAGGGGCGTTAGGGAAGCTGAGGAAGCGTTGTTCTAAATCAGCCATAAAAATGTTGGCATACTGTGGGGCCATGCGGGTACCCATAGCAGTGCCGCTGATCTGAAGGTATACATTGTCCCCAAATGTAAAATAGTTATGGGTAAGGACAAAGTCACAAAGTTCAGCCACCAGGTTAGCCGTGACATTATCGGGGATAGTGTTCTTGACGGCTTGTAGTCCATCTTTGTGTGGAATGTTGGTGTAGAGGGCTTCTACATCCATAGTGGCCAGGATGGTGTTATCAGGAATATCACCGATGGATTGTAGTTTCCTCAGGAAATCAGTGGTGTCTCGAAGGTAGCTGGGAGTGCTGGTAGCGTAGGGCCTGAGGAGGTAGTCTACATAGCCAGACAATCCTGCTGTCAGGGTGCCAATGCCTGAGATGATGGGGCACCCAGGATTTCCAGGTTTATGGATCTTAGGTAGTAGACAGAATATCCCAGGTCGGGGTTCCAGGGGTGTGTCTGTGCGTATTTGATCTTGTGCTTTTTCAGGAAGTTTCTTGAGCAAATGCTGTAGTTGCTTTTGGTAACTCTCAGTGGGATCATAGGGTAATGGCTTGTAGAAAGTGGTGTTGGAGAGCTGCCGAGCAGCCTCTTGTTCATATTCCGACCTATTCATGATGACAACAGCACCTCCTTTGTCAGCCTTTTTGATTATGATGTCAGAGTTGTTTCTGAGGCTGTGGATGGCATTGTGTTCTGCACGGCTGAGGTTATGGGGCAAGTGATGCTGCTTTTCCACAATTTCAGCCCGTGCACGTTGGCGGAAGCACTCTATGTAGAAGTCCAGTCTGCTGTTTCGACCTTCAGGAGGAGTCCACCTAAAATCCTTCTTTTTGTAATGTTGGTAGGGAGGCCTCTGTGGATTAGTATGTTGTTCAGAGGTATTTTGGAAATATTCCTTGAGTTGGAGACGTCGAAAATAGGATTCTAGGTCACCACAGAACTGTATCATGTTCGTGGGGGTGGAGGAGCAGAAGGAGAGGCCCCGAGATAGGACACCTTCTTCTGCTGGGCTGAGAGTATAGTTGGATGGTTAACAATATTGCTGGGTGGGTTGACGGAACCATTGCTGTGGCCCCTTGTAGCATGTAGTAGTTTAGAAAGTTTAGTGTCCTTTTTCTTTTGTAGAGAAGCAAAGTGTGCGTTGTAAATGGCTTGTCTAGTTTTAGTAAATTCCAGCCACGAGGAAGTTTGTGTGGAAGGTTGGTTTTTTATGAGAGTATCCAGTTCTGAGAGCTCATTCTTAATCTTTCCCTGTTTGCTGTAGAGGATGTTGATCAGGTGATTCCGCAGTTTCTTTGAGAGCGTGTGGCACAAGCTGTCAGCATAGTCTGTGTGGTATGTAGATTGTAATGGATTTTTGACCTTCAGTCCTTTTGGTACGATGTCCATCTGTTTGCATTTGGAAAGGAAGATGATGTCTGTCTGTATCTGTACAGGTTTTTTCATGCAGTTGATAGATTTCCTCTCCATACGGCACTTTAAATAAGCTATTACCAGCAGGAGAGTGGGGTGGGAGGAGGTATTGTTTCATGGTCTCTGTGTATATAATGTCTTCTGCAGTTTCCACAGTATGCATCCGATGAAGTGAGCTGTAGCTCACGAAATCTTATGCTCAAATAAATTGGTTAGTCTCTAAGGTGCCACAAGAACTCCTTTTCTTTTTGCGAATACAGACTAACACGGCTGTTACTCTGAAACCTTCCATCAATCTAACAGTTGCTCGGGGAGGTGGATTTCCTAGAGTGATAGACAGACCCCATCCGTCACTGTAGACTGCATCTACACTACAGGGTTATGCCAGCATAGCTACAGTGCCATATCTATATTATGCTAGTTTCCATAGTGTAGACATGGCCTTAGTCTGCTAGCTTAGTGGGTATTAACTGTTAACTAACAATATTGCCAGGGGATGTTCCTTTTGACCTCTTACATGGCATGTGCATAAACAAAGTAGTAAACCAAATGCTCTTGCTTGATAAGAGTTGCAAGGGCGAAGTTTATCTTTCACATTGGCAAAGACTAAGAAAATTATTTTCTAGTTTCTAAAATATACTACCAAAGAAATATGTAAAAACGTGCAATTAAAACTTAAGACAGATGACTTTTCCTCTAAGGGCTTATGTAGTTGCCAGTGTGAACTTTCTACTATCTTCCCATTAATAATTTTCTTTATTTTATTCTCCTTTTTTGAGCCCATGTAGTAGAATCTATGGGTGGGATTTAAGCACCTATTAAACCTAAGAATTCCCAATTAATCCAGGAATTCTTGTCTCCACGGGGCTCCAGCACCTGGCTGGGGTATCCCTCCCTTATGGGACATCAGTATTTATAATTGTATAAAGTCCTTTGGGTACAAGCTTCCCACAGAGTTTCCTCCTCAGTAACAACTACCACAAAGCTTTTAGAAAGAAAACGGGAAAAGAAAGCAACACACCTCTGTTAATAGCTGCCCAACTAGGAAGATGTGGATTGCGGGAGCCAATCTGATGTTACATCCTTGCTAATAGCAGACAGGTCAGGAGTGCTTGAGGAACCCAGGGGTGAACACAGTATTCCTCTTTAAATAGCTGCCCTGTCATGGGCTGCATCACTCACCAGCAGGCTGGTACCTCCTCCTGGCCACTCTGGAGATTAGCTGGAGGCCACCACCCCCGTCCATGGCTTGCACATCATCACTCTGTCTCTGCATCTGGCAGTGGCCCCTCTTGCAGCCTCAGGAACCGCAGCATCCTCTTTTGTGACTTGACCCTCCAGCTGTGTCACCCTCTGGGTTCCTCCCTTTTAGGGGTTAGGGTCTCAGTCCACCCACTACTCCAGGTCCCAACCCAGGGACGTTACAGATAGCAGCCTCTTGCTGCGACTTTTTAATTTCTCCCAATGCTGTTATGTTTCCCTGGGCCACTTCCCCATGGCCCCAGCACCCTCTTCGCCCTAACCTCAGGATATCCAACTACCCAGCCCCAGCAGCCAATTAGGAGCTCCTTCTTGCTCCCCCATCCTGTGAGTAGTTGCTCTGTCCAATATGTACTAGAGACACAGTCCTCACTCCTTGAGCTCCCAGCAGCAGCTTAACTTGCTCTGCTCTGCTCTGCCCTAAAGCTCCTTTTGTGTGAGCTTGCTGGGCCCTGATTGGTTGTTCCTGCAACTCCTCCCTGATTGGCTGCACTCATGCAGTCTCTCTGGACCACTCAGAGGACTCACCTCCACTGCTTGCTGCTGAGGTTAACCCTTCCTAGTCTAGTGTGGGGCAGACACCCCATCACATGCTCCATCGAGAGAGTTTTTGGAACCCAGCAGCTCTTCTGTGCGGTCTTATTTTCCTTGCTTTAACCCTTTCATTTAACCACCTCTTGTCCTTGTATTCCAGGCTCTGTGTCCCGAAAGTTGTTGAACATATTAACAGTGCTGCGTAGAGCACTGGGATCCATGTCAAGCCACTTCTGTTCCAGTCCTTACAAAAAGACACTCTTGGCTGCTCTTATAGTGTGCCTTGTTGTGGTGAGACTAGACCCAGGTATGTGATTAAGGCTTCTGAATGTTATTTGTTTTCTGTCTTATGGTTAAGAACAAGAAACTGGGCATTGCTAGCGGTGGGCTTGGAAGAGGAACATTTATTCAAGCCTCTCTCCGTAGGAGTGACTGTGAGATAGGGTGCAGGAGTGGTGGGTGTGTGGGAGCTCACAGCTACTATATTTCCAGCTTTTTCCACTAAAAATCACTGAAGGCAGATGTGTAGGACAGCTGGCTGTAAATAAACCTATAGCTACTGCATCCACAGCCTTTCCTAACGAAAGGTACTGTCGGAAACTGTTCTGAAGCACAGGCTATGGGCAGTTCGCAGCTATCCAGTGCCAGACTGTGCCTCTGTCAGAGAAAGATGCTGGAAGGGTGTTGGCTGTGGGAAGTAAAGTGGTAAGAATGGTTGTGATTGGTGAACTTTAGCAAAGTAATTTAGCTGTAACCTCGACCTTGATCTACTTAAGCTACAAGCCAACCCAAAACTACCCTAAAAAGCACTCATTAGCATTCAGAAAGTGTGTGGATATAGATTTCCCCCTCTGTTTTGTAATGAATGTCTCTGCTAGTCCTAAGAATCTTCATTACTGAGGCACATGCTAATTACCCCCCTGCAGAGGGGACTTTTGAGTCTTCAGTGTTGTTCTGTCAATCAGCCTTTGCAGGGTGAAGCATAGCTTACTGGGGATGAGAGCAACACCCTCTTCTCTATGCCCTGCAGCTTCTGCTAGGTGAGAGTCTGAGCACTCACCTGGGCGGGAATAAAGAGAAAGCAAAGCTGATGGCTTCCCTTGACCTGAGTGGAGATCAGCTCTTTCTAAGTCTGAGTTTATAAAGAGAAGGGTAGGAAACATTAATGAAATACTTTTGTTTTATTCTGCAGCTGCTCCCACGTCCCTACCCTTCCTTTACAGGCTGGTCCAGCTCTGCCATCAGGCATGGGTGGCTATATTTTCTCTGCTCTACAGGCCTCCACTTCAAGACTAAGCGGCTTTATGAAGTGTTAAAAGTCTTTTGTCTCTGTCGCTGTGCAAGTGGCAGCTTGTCTTGAGGATTTTAATCAGGCTCTTCAAGGGCTCCTGAGACCAATGTACTAATTAAAATGACCACAATGGGTCCCGTGCAGTGACATCTTCCTCTCTTGCCAGACTAAGAACCTGGCCTAGTGCTGTCTGGATTTTGAAACTGCCTCCGCTACTTGTCTCCCTGTGCTATGCAGCCATGCAGCACAGTACTAACCCTGGAGGAATGTGCACATACAGGGTTTTAGCCGTGCTCCTCTAATCCATGTCTTATTTAGATGCTCCTTAAAGTGGTTGCTTTTGGTGTGGATCCCAAGTGAGAGTCTGTAGCCAATGGCAAAGAACAATGACAGGCATTTTGAGAGATTGCACCATCCTTGCAAATGTTTTTGAAGTTGTCCAAGAAGTGGGAGTGGAATTTCAGAGGGTATGGTTATGAAAGATCTGAGCACCAAGTCTACACTGAACACTAGTAGCCAAAAAACTGTCCTGCCTTGGGACCCTTTAAATGCCCAGTTTCTGCAGCATGGGATTTAAGCCAAATATGTGGAACACAATAAAATATTGCAGACTGAAATTGGAGCCCATTCTGTTCTGAAGGCCAGAGTTTCTCTTGTGACCCTGATGTGTCTTGGCATAGTCATTCTCACTTTGGATTTAACAATCGTGGCTAAGCAAGCATATCAAGGTGACGGGGTGCATTATAAAGATGGATCTGTCAGCCCATTCTGTCCCCTGTCTGGGTGTACTGCATCCAGCACAAGCAATTATAGACCTTTCTGTCTTTCAGATGATCATTAATATTAAATATTTGACACTGGATAAGTTAGAATAGGGGACAGCAGAAAAATGGAGATAGCGAGAGACAAGAGGCAACAGAGTTGCTCTTATTAATCTTAATATGCTCCATATTTATTAGTCTAACCTGCCCAATTACTTGAATTGTCATGTAGTTTCACTGCATACTTTGTGTCTCTGTATCTCCCCTTGCTGTGCTTTCTATTTACCTATTTAGATTTAGTATACAAATAGACTCCTGGCCACATGCCTAGACATCCCAACAAGTATTTAGAATCATAATCCACAAAGAGTAATCATCCAGCAGCAAAACTGCACTCTTTCACACCAAGAGTAAATTAACAGGCCTCAAAATACATTTCCTCCAAAACCCTCCACCCCAGCACATAGTGTTCTGATGGTCAATAGATCAAAGCTACTTCAGACCAGTGGTTGGGGGAGCGACTTCCAGAGTCAAAGGGCCCTCCTGGAGAACACTGCCAGCAGTGCCTGCCCCCATACCAAGTTGGCTTCACAGCTCAAGTGCCTCCGCTGATTGTAGCTTTAGCAGTATAAAACAGGGAGAGAAGTGATTATTCAGGTAGATAAATCCAAAACCACACCCTGAACTCCCCACCTCCCTGATAACCAAGAGGCATCCAGTGCAGATCCTTGTGCAACGTCCTAAATCATCCCCCCACAGCCTTCTGCCTTTGCAGTAACCATACAGTGCGGTGGGGGCTATTTCTAGTCCTTCAAAAATGGCAGCAGCACACAGGTGTCACAACAGCTGGCTGCATGCACTACAATGGTTTGTTAGCGGTTCCTCCTCGTTTAAAAGAGTCCGAGGTTCCATCTTCACTGCAAAATAACACACCTGTTTTTCTGTGGCATAACTAACATGAATTATCCTGCTGTGAAATCCTAGTGGAGACAAGGCTCTGTCGTTTTACTGAGAGGTAAACCAGGCAAGATCAACGATGCAGTGGGCGGTGGTAATATTATTAACTTTGTCTACCTCTCGCTTAGAAGAAAGTACAGGAAGCTTGTCTCCACTAGGATATTACAGCGAGGTAACTATTGTCCATTTATCTTGCTGTGAAAAACACGTGTAGGCAGTTAAGACAAAACCTTGAAGACCTTACACATATAAGGCAGAGCTCTTTGGAGCTTCATGTTATTATTTACGTGCATGTGTAATGCACTTATGGCCATCATATCTCCATGAGTTCAGTCACTGGATTCATCATTTCAAAAACTTTCAGCATAAAATAATCATATCAAGACTGTAAGGAGAAAGGCTCTGGGCTTGTTCTTATGTTCTTGTCTACATGGTGTGGCAACGGGCCCTATGGGGGTGTGATTTCTAAAATGCACTCATTTGCACATTAATTGGTCCATGTGTTCCCTCCTGGTATGCACTAAAAGTTCCCTACTGTGCTTTAACATAGTTCTGTTTCAAATAGTACTATGTTAAAGTGTACCAAGGAACTCCTGGTGCGCACCAGCATGGTCTACATGCTCTGATAAGTGTGCAAACGAAGTGAACTTTAGAAATCACACCCCTGTAGAGTGCACTGCCGCACAACTTAGACAAACCCTCTCTGTAACTCTTCTAAGAATGACTAGTTTGTACTTCCCAGTCTCCTATATTGCAGGATCTACCTATGTACATAGCTTTGTGACCTAGTCACTGTAGTATCTGAGTGAGTCAAATGCGCTTACTGATCATATGTAGTCTGTCTTCTGCTAACTAGGAGGTAGTTAACATTTCCTCTGGCTCATTGTTTCAAATTTCTGTTTGTAGCCATGCTTGTGATATTAGGATTATGGTCTGGGAGGAGCATGCATGGTGATCTTGATTTCTGCTTAGAGGTTGCTTGATAATGTCTTAACTGTTCATTTCCATGGATCTTTTTAATATGTGTGAGTGATGCATAGATTAGCCACCTCAAATTTCTCCTAGTACTTTGTTTTTTAATTAGAATGTTTTTCATTGTGTTTAGCACATAATGAGACAAAGGATGGTGGAAACAGAAAAATAACACTTATGCAGTTTTAATGGTTTTATTAATTTAATTTTAAATACTTAATTTTCAGAATAAAAATTACTATTTATGTAGTCCGTTATATTGTGATGCTCCGTCTGGCTAGTCACAAAACAGTCTTTCACCACACTGGCATATATTGTTAAAAATATTTACATTTAGTGCATTGACACTTGGCAATTTCCAAATAATTCTTTGGAAATAGGTTTCACTGCAAACAGTGGCCTTGATTCTGCAAACACATGCTTTAATTAGGTGACTAGTACCATTCAGTTCTATGGGACTAACTACCCAATTAAAAAGAAAAGGAGGACATGTGGCACCTTAGAGACTAACAAATTTATCTGAGCATAAGCTTTCGTGAGCTACAGCTCACTTCATCGGAATGCATTCCGATGAAGTGAGCTGTAGCTCATGAAAGCTTATGCTCAAATAAATTTGTTAGTCTCTAAGGTGCCACATGTCCTCCTTTTCTTTTTGCAGATACAGACTAACATGGCTGCTACTCTGATACTCAGTTAAGTCTACTCATGTGCAATAGTGTTTGCAGGGTCACAGCTTGTATTTTCATATAATGGATCAGAGTATTGAATATTTTTTTGCATATCTTCCCAGATGCTTTCAATTAAAGATGCAACATATATTGTTCATATGTTAAACTTTTTAACATGAAGCAGTATTTATCTATTCATGATTTATGTATGTTTGTATATACTTAAATGGCCAAAAATTTACAGAAACATGCAACAAAGAGTAAAGTATTGAATAATTCTTCATCTGTCGTTACATTATTTTCCCCTATCCCTTACCAGAGTCAAAGAGCTTGTTACCATGAAGGAAGATGCCAGTATACATACCTTCTGTAGATGTGATAATTCTGCCACCAAACCCTTGCTCTAGGGGGGAGGGGTGTTTACACTTTTTCTGACTGTCTCCAGGAGTTTGAGATGATTCTACTGCTATCTGACCTCCTGTTGTAGGAGGCTGAAGGTTATATTGACACATATTCCCTACAGGGAACTGAAAAATGCCAGGGGAGAAGTACAGCAGCATCGACTGCTTCTAAGTGGAGACTATGGAGAGCAGGAGGAAGATGAAGCTTGGTGACTTTTTGTTGTGCACAGGTGATCAAATAATCTACCACTGAGATCTCGATACATTTCTCCTTCCCTTCACTGACACATTTCAATCAACAGAATTTACCACATGCTAAATAACTCAATCACCATCATTTCTCTCCAGTTACCTCTGATGTCACGTAGGCCCACATCCTCAAAGGTATTTAGGTACCTAACACTCGCTGAATATCTGGACCTAAGGGCTTGTCTACATTGGTGCTTTACAGCGTTGCAACTGGCTCGCTCAGGGGTGTGAAAGAACACCCCCCCTGAGCGCTGCAAGTTTCAACGCTGTAATGTGCCAGTATAGACAGTGCATTAGTAGCTACGCCCTTCATGGAGGTGGGTTTTTTTAGAGCGCTGGGAGAGCTCTCTCCCAGTGCTGGGCTGCGACTACACAAGCCATGTTAAAGTGCTGCCGTGGCAGCACTTTAACGTTGCCAGTGAAGACGTGCCCTGAGACACAACATGAAAATGACCTCAGCTATTGACACTGCCCTGACTATAATTATAATAATTAGATATAACAGTTAAAAAGGTTGCTCAATTACAAACATTTCTTTATCTGCAGCATATTCACCACTTAATGAGTTTTAACTATATGGAAAGTTTAGTTAAATCGCAGTTAGCTCATGTGATTAACTCAAAAAAATTAATCGGGATTAATTGCACTGTTAAACAGTAGAATAACAATTGAAATGTATTAAATATTTTTGGATGTTTTTCTCTATTTTCAAATATATTGGTTTCTGTTACAACACAGAATACAAAGTGTACAATGCTCACTTTATTATTTTTTATTACAAATATTTGCACTGTAAAAATGATAAAAGAAATAGTATTTTTCAGTTCACTTCATACAAGTACTGTAGTGCAATTTCTTTATCGTGAAAATGCAACTTACAAATGTAGATTTATTTATTTTTTTGTTACGTAGCTGCACTCAAAAACAAAACAAGGCAAAACTTTAGAGCCTTCAAGTCCACTCAGTCCTACTTCTTGTTCAGGCAATCGCAAAGACAAACAAGTTTGTTTACATTTATGGGAGATAATGCTGCCCACTTCTTATTAACAACATCCCCAGAAAGTGAGAACAGGCATTCACGTGGGACTTTTGTAGCCAGTATTGCAAGGTATTTACGTGCCAGATATGCTAAACATTTGTATGCCCCTTCATGCTTTGGCCACCATTCCAGAGGACATGCTTTCATGCTGATGACACTCGTTAAAAAAAAATACATAAATTAAATTTGTGACTAAACTCCTTACGGGAGAACTGTATTTCTTCGGCTCTGTTTTACCCATATTCTGCCATATATTTCATGTTACAACAGTCTCAGGTGATGACTCAGCACATGTTCATTTTAAGAACACTTTCGCTGCAGATTTGACAAAATGCAAAGAAGGTACCAATGTGAGATTTCTAAAGCTAGCTACAGCACTCAACCCAAGGTTTAAGAATCTGCAGTGCCTTCCAAAATCTGAGAGGGACGAGGTGTGGAGCATGCTTTCAGAAGTCTTAAAAGAGCTACACTCCAATGTGGAAACTACAGAACCCGAACCACCAAAAAAGAAAATCAACCTTCTGCTGGTGGCATCTGACTCAGATTATAAAAATGAACGTGTCGGTCCGCACTGCTTTTGGTTGTTATCGAGCAGAACCTGTCATCAGCATGGAAGCATGACCTCTGGAATGGTGGTTGATGCATGAAGGGACATGTGAATCTTTAGCACATCTGGCATGTAAATATCTTGCAAGGCCGTCTACAACAGTGCCATGTGAACACCTGTTCTCACTTTCAGGTGACATTGTGAACAAGAAGCAGGCAGCAGCATCTCCCATAAATGTAAACAAACTTGTTTGTCTGAGCAATTGGCTGAACAAGAAATAGGACTGAGTGGACATGTAGGGTCGAAAGTTTTACATTGTTTTATTTTTGAATGCAGTTATTTTGTACATAATTCTACATTTATAAATTGCACTTTCATGACTACAGTACTTTTTCTAGGTGAATTGAAAAATATTTCTTTTGTTTTTTACAGTGCAAATACTTGTAAAAAAATAAATATAAAGTGAGCACTGTATACTTTCTATTGTGTTGTAATTGAAATCAATATATTTGAAAATGTAGAAAATATCCAAAAATATTTAAATAAATGGTATTCTATTATATAACAGCGCAATTAATTGCGATTAATTTTTTTAATTGCGTGATTAATCGCAATTAATTTTTTAAATTGCTTGACAGCCCTAGCAACAAGCCATTTGTTAGCGATAGAAGTGTGAAAAAATTACAGTTTTTAAATGAACCATTTAAAAATAATTATTGCTCAAACTAATAGATTTAAAAATTTGAAAAACTCGTTATTTAATGTTTGGGGAGGATACACTAAATTATTCATACATAACTAAGAGGTTTAATCTCTGCTTTAGGTGTAAATCTCAAAGTAACTTAACTATGGAACCAGAAAGATATCTCCATAATTAAAACAGTATTAAATGACATGTCTTCCACACAAAGATCCAACACTGCACTAAACCATTCAGATGCAATTACCTCTGAAGTGAACCCCCCCCCCCACCTATTTAGTAGTGCACAGTAACAGTACAAGAGTTAAACACAGGAGTGAAAAATACATTAAATTGAAGGGAAACTAAGGGGGAAGTTTATGGGAAGAATATAGTTTCCCAGCTCACAATTTGACCAGAGGCCTGCTTTTTTTGTAAGTGCTGACCACCCGGATTTCCAGCTGAAGTAAAGAAGAGCTGTGGGTGCTCAGCCCCTCTGACAATCATATCCCAAGATACCAAGGCTATTCTTCTGACAAGTGTCATGAAGTCTTTAAGAGCCTCATTTCTGTGTCTGTTTTTAATGCACTCTTTTCTAGTGCAATCCAAAGGTAACACTTGTAGTTTGCTATGAATGTAGCAGTGGCACAAGCTAAACTCAAGCTAACTAATGCTCGGTATTCACACCCAGGTGTGACAAAATTTACAAAATTACACAACTCATTTCATGGTTTGATACCTTTGCTTTTCACTTGATAAATTAATAATTACAATTGAGGGCAGTGGAAATAAACCAGAAAAAAAGTTCATGATGAATTTTGTAACATACAGTCTGCAAAGTGTAGATTTTTGTTGGTGCTCAGACTTATCAGCCATTTTCCTAAGTCCTGCAACACAAAAGCCAGAAAATCTCAGTATTAATGAATCCTTTAAAAACAGAACATGTCTATAGAACAAAGGGTTTTAAGATCCAGTGCAGATGTCAATCAACCTATCTTTCCCTGAAAAAAAAGTAAAAAAAAGGACTGCTTCAATGCTTTTAGCTTCATGACTAAGCTAAGCTTCATATGATTTAGTCACAGCATTTTTAGTAAAAGTCATGGACAGATCACAGACAATAAACAAAAATTCACAGCCTGTGACCAGTCCATGATTTATACTATAAATACCCTTGGCTAAACCTTGGGGGGGGGGCCACTCCCGGGCGGCTGCTACTGGGGTGGGACAGTGGCACCAGCTGCTGGGGGCTGCCGGAGCACAGTCTGCTCCAGCCACCCCAGGGGCCGCTGCTTGGGCTGTTCCTGGGGCTGTCTGATCAGCTGGCCCTGGAGGCAACTGCTTTGGCAGCCCTCAGGTCAGCCATACTGGCTGCTCCAGAAGTCACGGAAAGTTATGGAATCCATGACTTCTGCAACCTCCATGACAGACACGGTGCCCTATTCATGACTGATTGGTATTCTAGAGCTCATGATCCCGAGTGCAGAACAGAGATTCTGGGTTTTCCAGGGATATTCAGCAAAAGCATGAAAACACCATTGGCCAGATTTTGATTTTGGTTACGCTGCTGCAAATCTGAATTACCTCCATTGCCTTTAGTGGAGTTGCTCTGGCTTTACAGTGGTGTGACTGAGATCAGAATCTGGCCCCAGTTGTCTGATGATGATTT